TTTACTTGTGCTCGGACTGTGTGGTGACTTTGTGATCCACCCTGAGCTTGCTTTGCTTTTCTTGACTGGTCTTGTGACCACTTGTTCTCCCCCACTTTGCCTATTGGGGTGTGTCAAACTTATATGCTGCACATTGTATAGTCTGTAGTGGGCCCATACGGGGTACAACACAACTCAGTGTTAGTACTTGTACTCATCTTGCTGCTAGTTCAATCCATTCTTGCTTGTAACTTTGACAGGTTGGTGAGGTTGGGCGAGCAGGTTGTCTCGTCAGTAGTTGGCCCGATTTCTACTGACTGCTGGCGTTTCCCTGCCTCCGAGACTCACTCCTCTGCTCTGCTCCGCGGCGCCTTAGCTCCTCTGGGCATTCGCTCTTGCGATGGCCCGGCCTGTTACAAGCAAAGCAGCGCCCCTTAAATGGCGCGGCAGCTGCATTCGCTGCAACGGCGTGTACAGTGGCGTGCTTGGCCGGTCCCCGAGAACGTTGTCTGTAGTAGAACTGCGGTCTCGGTCGGCGTAGGATATCGATCTTCTCGGCGAGCGCGAGGATCTCGTTGAAGTTCGAGAGCCCGCGTAGGATGGTTTCGTGCGAGATGTCCGGCTTCAGCCCTCCGACACAATGGTCCACCCGCTCCGCTTCGTGCATGGAGCCGACTTGCTCGCATAATGCGAGAAAACCGCTCGTGTAGTCTTGAACCGACCCGAGTTGTCGCCAAGTACGTAGTCTCTGACGCGCTGAAATAGTAGCCGCATTCGGCTCGAAGCGCTCCCGAAGCCCTGCACACCACGCATCCCACGTGCTGTACTGGGTGGTTTTGCATAAAGAACTCCATGTGACGGCTGGACCCGAGGGCCCTCCCTCTTGCGACGGCGGCTCGTAGGCGCGTGGCGACGTCACGATGACTCGCCACCAGTCCATGGCGGGGCCCCTCAGCAGAGAAACTGCGCAGCGAATCTTCTCTGCGTCCGACTCGACGTAATTCGCGTCGAAGAAAACGTTCATCGTGAAAATATACTATTGAACTATCGGACCTCCACGTTGGCTAGGATCGAAGTAGGGCGGGCGCTGCGGCTTGAGTGGCATCGTCGCCATGATGACGTTGTTGCTACTCGTTGCGGCGAACTCCATTTGCCGGCGGACTTCGCAAGGCCATTGTGTGCCTGTTGCGGCCCTGTTCCTCTCCATGCCAGGCATTGAGTGAGCGGCGCCATCACTGGCTGCGCCTGAGCGTTGTCCCACGCTGTTGTTCTGTGTCGGTGTGCCCGATGAGATGACGATCGGCTCCTCCGATTGTGCAGGTGCATTTGCAGGTGCATGTGTTGGTGCTGGTGCATTGATCGTCGATTGCTGGCGAGCGGGGTCGCGTTCCGCTGTGAGTGTCGCAATTTCGAGCGCTGAATCTTCGAGTTGGCGCACGAGACGGTCGAGCTGCTCTTGCGTCGGTGTCGCGAGCAGGGCTGATTTTATCAGGGTAATTACCCTGATTTCAGGGTGATTACATGCTTCTCAACTGCTGGGCCCTGCAATTTCAGTTTTTTTAACTTGTGAACTCTGATCCAATCAGACAAGTTACTTAACGAACCCTGAAATCTTATAACTAGACTCAGAGTAGTGTACTTGCGGACTATGTCTATGCAGAGTATGCGTTCGGTGGACCCTGAATGCGAGGGTATCGGGACGAAGGTTCCTCGAAGTTTCCTTTCGATAACGCCCCCCTTGTGCGTAATCATTACTTCGCGTGGCCCCATGTGAGGTACCCCGTTCACGCGCTGGACTGGCGTAATAACGACACCGAATTCCAACACCGTGCTGTAAAGACAGCTGTCAACAGTGACAACGCACCCAAATCTATGATACGTTGCTGCCACGCGCACCTCAGGACGTAGAGGAGGTGTACTTCATTGACAAACCCGTGCACTAGATAGTGTAATGTAGGAAAGTTGAAGTTGTATCAGTCATTTTGAAGTGTAGTGCAATGTTAATAGCAACCCTGGTTTTGAGCTGTGAACCCTGACGGATCAGACTAGCATTTTGTTCGACACTGAGCTATCAGGGTAGCTTCCCTGTGAAAAATGTGCGATCATAATAGAGGGGGAATTTTTTTCCAGAAATCAGGGTGGCCTAAAACGAAACGTCAGCCCTGGTCGCGAGATTAATTTCGGCCATGGCGGGGGTATCGGGCAAGCTCAGGAAGAGCCTCTCTCGTGGCCGTGCGTGCTTACGAGAGAGCACTTCGAGCGGTGGTGCTTGTTCGTCTACCCCCCAAAAAAATTTGAGATAGTGGGGAAGCGAAGGTGTGGGTGCGGTCCGAGAGGAGATCGTTGGCTCTGAATACCTAGTTTTACGAGTTCAATTGAGCGAGTGGGCGAGAATTGCACTATCGAAGCAAAACAATCCAATGAGCGAAGGCATGCACGAAGAATACATAGCGAACTAGAGTGGTAACGGTAACGCGAGGAATTGGGGTGCGCTACGGGCCTAGCGTCGAGGTTGGGATATGTCGAGGCGGAGGTCCGGAGCGCGGGCTACCAACCGAACCGTGAGGTTGGGTCGTATCGTGAACAGTGGCGGGAGTCGTAGTCGAGGCGAGTGTCGCGAGCGGGTAACGTTTCACTGTTTGGGTGCCGATGGCGGGAATGGTCTTGTACGCGGCAAGCAGGGGCGCTAAGTAAGGAAAAGGAATTGTTATAAAACGCGTTACTATGTTTGCTTGTTATACTGCATGTTGCTCGTGGATGCTTCTTATTTGGGCATCAAGCCCATCCTTGCAAGAAGCGTGTAAGCCCAGCAGTTCCAACTCATGCGGTGCTGCTCCCCCCAGACCACACGACCTCCTCCGCGCTGGCCCGTGTTGTGATGTGAATCATATCAAGATTTCCTGGTTGTCGTACACCTCATGAGGAGTTATGCGTGCATGCATCTTGTCTTGTCTCCCCATGCGTCGATCGGTGCTGGCGGAAAGGAAGGCGTTGGTTGGTCAGTTCACGTGGCCATCAACGCACGACGACTGCCTGCACCACATTTTTACATCCAAGGGCACTGTAGATGGCACACCTCCAGTAACCATAGCGGGGCAGAACTGTGAAAGTTTCACATTAGTGATTGTTGAATCAAGCTTTCGCATTGTGGTACAAATGTAAAGTGAGTGCAACCGTATACCCATGCATCCAACAGAATATATCAATATGCAAAAGAGAAAACAACACTGGACCAACAAGCAACAACCCAAGGCGAAGGAAGCACACAACACAACCTTCGAATCATGACTGGATTTTCCACGTTCGTCGAGCTGCGCCGTACCAGGGGCGCAAACACCACTCAAATCATTAACTCGCAATTACTCCACCGCTTCCTGCTTTCAAGTTCCAAGCCAAGACAATGGTGACAGTGTGCCGGGAAACGTTACAGTTGTCGGCTGGGTAACCTTGAACGCAAGAGTCTAGGTGCCCGAAATCACCCGAACCAAACGAACGGCCAGGTTCAGCAGGAAACGTGTCACCTTCAAAACAACTGCCCCCAACCCAAACTTGTGCCTTCAAACTTCCACAGAAAACCGCCAACCATCCGCCATGTCAATTTTGAACTTCCACTTGAACTCCTCTGACCAAAATGCAGGGGTCGAAATTCGGCCGCCTGTGATTCCCTTGTCCAGAAACATTTCGGAAGTTCCAATCTCAATCCAAGTTTTATGGCAGCATTTTCTTGTGGTTCGCTGCTCGATTTTTCTTGCCCGCGCTCCGCTTCGGCTCGCAGCTGAATGCCGAAACAGCCCACGCGTCCCTTCCAAACCTGGCTCCCCCTAACCCAACCTTACAAAGGAGATCGGGGATTTGCTGAAAGTCTGCCTGGTGCAGCACCGCCCAATGGCGCGCACGTCAGGAAAAAGATCGACTGCCACTAGTCGGCCCCAGAACCTGGGACGGGTCCAGGGCATAGCGCGCGGAAATCCCAACGCTTCCATCAGTTATCTTTGTGGGATGTGAATCAGTGATACACACCCCCCCCCCCCAAGATGGTGTTTGTACAGTACTGTATTCCTCCTTGGGGGGTGGCGGTTTCCATGATTCCCCATCCGATTTCCATGGTCTGGGGGTCATGGCGGTTCGCTCCCAACAGGTTTGAAATGTTGCTCGCATATGGTGTGGCAGCCAGGCGACCGAGATTCCCTGTTTCCTCCTCTCTCCCCCTCTCTACTCACCTCTTTCCAAACCCTCCCTTCCCCTCCCCTCCGCTTCCCTCCCCTCCTTTCTCTTCTGCTTAGGGCTCTACAATTCAGGGTGCTGTTTACTTATTTATTAGTAGTCTGTGTAGAGGTTATGTGTGCCCCTGCTGGAACTGAGGTGTACCTCCCAGGCCGCAAGTTTAGAGGATAACAGGCCCAACAGGGTTCGTTTGAACGCCACCCATCCAAATAAGAGGGTAGCCCAAAATGGAAAGTGGGAGTCCCCTCGGTCTTCCTCTCGCTGTCCTTTCATCGCGGTTCTCCCCTCTCTTTCCTTCTCTCTCTCTCTCTCTCTCTCTCTCTCTCTCTCTCTCTCTCTCTCTCTCTCTCTCTCTCTCTCTCTCTCTCTCTCTCTCTCTCTCTCTCTCTCTCTCTCTCTCTCTCTCTCTCTCTCTCTCTCTCTCTCTCTCTCTCTCTCTCTCTCTCTCTCTCTCTCTCTCTCTCTCTCTCTCTCTCTCTCTCTCTCTCTCTCTCTCTGTCTCACTGTCGGTTTCCAGGTCAACAACTCACATCCAGCAGCAAGTTGTTCTTGGATCATGCTCTTTCGCTGCTCCGCTGGTTCGTAGCTATCGTGTGGCATGACTCACCTCAAACGAGTTCACTTCAGCTCCATGCCACATAGTTTGAATTTCTGGAAATTGAACTGGGTCTTCCTACTCGAATGCTACTATCACCTTGAAGGACAAAGAGAGATAAAAAAGGACCGTGAGGTGACTTTCTAAACCCAAAACCTGGATGACAAATGTATACTTCAGCTTTAATACCTTGCCAATCAAGATGAACGTGGGCGTTGCCGCTCGACCCTCCCCTCCAGACGCCATGCATCCTTCCGACCATTTCGCTCCGAGCCATCCATTCGCAGATCCTTCCGTGTGTCTCACAACCCGTCTCTCTCCCCCAGACTGCTTTTCCGCGTCGCTCAGCTCGTCCCCTTCGCGCTGCGGATCCGAAGCGCTCAAAGCCACCGCGTGCCGTCCGGCAGGTGGCCTCCGGGAGCGGCCGTCGTTGCTCGGCCCGCAGGGGTTGGAACAGGAATGGGCGGCTATTTTCGGAGAAGATGACGGAGATGACGTGGATAACGGGGGTTATGGGGATGACGTGGATCACGGATATCCCGGGAATGACGGGAATAATGGGGGCGAGCGTGAGGAGGAAGATGACGAGGAGGATGTGCCATGGGAGGTGATTAGTTCGCGGCTACGGCAGCAGCTCAAACAGGTGCTGCACCAGCAGAAGCAGCAGCACGTTCAGCTGTCGCACGCGCGGACACACGACGACGGTTACCACAGTCGGCGACATTCGCAGACGCTCGGGCAAGCTCCGCCGCAACTCAACGCCTCGGCGCAGAAAGATCCGAGTCGCGACCGCTTAGAGAGCTGTCAGCAGTGGGAGCAAAGCATTAATAACGACCGTCAATCTTGCCGGAGAACGGCTAGTTACAGGGACAGCGGCTCTAGGGAAAATAGCAGCCGGGAAGGCAGCAGCAGAGAGGAGATTAACTGGTTAGCGCAAGCCTGCACAGAGGGCAGGTCGAAGCAGGTGGACCGTCGATCAGCTAGCCGTAGGTCCTTCGACGTCGTCAGATCTGGCCGGCACCCAGTCTCGGAAACCGTTTCCGTTTCCGTTACCGGCGCCGTTTCCGTTTCTGGTTCCGCGAACCGGGACTGTTCCGCCCACTCGTCGCCCGTGCCGTTGCAACAGCGCCGGCGAAGCCATTCCGAAGTGCCGCCGCTGCTGGTAACCGTGCCGAAATCTTCGTTAGAAAGAGTCGCGCTGTCGAACAAGAAAGGCTCTCCGGCGCTTCCGCCATCGGTCCGCCAAGGCGCATGCTCTTCCCTCAGTCCTAGCGACCTTCAGCAGAAAGCCTTCCCCCCCCGCTCTCCGCGCAGTAATCTATCCGTGCAGGCACTCCGCACTTCCTCCCTCTCCCCCGATTCCCCGTCCGTATCCCCGCGTTCCTCCTCTGCTGCGCTAGCTGCTGCGCTTGCGGCGTCCCGAAAAGCAGAAAGTTTTCGAGAAGATTTAGATTCTTCGGACGAGGAGTTTTTAGCCGCTTACTGCCACATTACCGGTTCCCCCACTGCGGAGTCCCCCGTAGCTTCCCCCCCTTCCGCGGCTTCCGCGGGTTCCGCCTTCCGCGGGCCCGTCGTCCGCGCGCTGCAGAAGAGCGCGAGCTGTTTGGAGGGGCGAGGGGAGCAGCGTCAAGCGCCGGTGCGCGCGCAAGCGTGGAGGGCGCAGCTGGCAAAGTCGCAAGAAACGTTGTTTCGCAAGGGCGGAGCGAGCGGAGGAGCGAGCGGCGCAAGGGACGCGCATGCGCGGGTAAGGGCGCAGGAAGCGGCGGACGTTCCGCAACGGTCCTACACGGCGCCGTCCGGGGGCGGTAAGCAGGCGCCTTTTGTGGCGCCCTTTGCGGCGGTTATTGCGCATCAAAACCTGGAGAAGCAGAATCTCCACCTGAAGAAACAGCTGCAGCAAGCGCAGCAGCTAAGGACCGCAATAGGCGGCGGATTCGGCGGCTGCAGCGTAGTCAGCACCGGCGGAAGCAGTTGCAGTGGGATCAGTGGTTCGGACCTTGCGCGGGGATTAGGAAACGAGTCGGGCGGCAAGCAAGCCGGAGGCGCGGCGGCCGCCGCCGGGCACGGGGCGCGCGCGACGGGGGGAACTGGCGGAGCCTCCTCCGCAGGATCTCAGGCGCAGCCGCCAAACGCTGCGCAAGCTAGATCTAGAGGCAAAGGGGGGCACGCGGACACTCCGGCTGGCGGAGCGGTATCCGCGGGTGCGCGGAAGCTCTTTGGGTTGGGTTCCCAGTCTCAACGGATGTTTCCGCGCGCCGCCACTACCGGCGGAGCTTCCCGCTCGCTAGTCCGCGGGCGCTCGTGGGCGTCGCTCGAGTTTCAGCGGGCGCAAGATCCGCCGCGGAACGCGCCGCATTTAGAGGAGCTGGTCCCCTGCACTAAAGGCCTCCCCACTATTGAGAGCAGTGGCAGCGGGGGCAGCAGCGGCAGCGGTAACGGCGGGGGCAGCAGTAGGAGCAGGGAAAAGGGCAGCGGCGGTAGTAGGACCGTTAGCTTCTCGGAGCGGCACTCTGCGCTTCTTTCTCCCGCGGATTCCCCGCGGGCGCGCGCGGGCGCCGCCGCGCCGCCGCTCTCCGCCATGGGAAGGGCAAGCTCGGCGGCTGCGGGCGGCGCATCGCGGGGCTCCCCCTCGTTCCCCCATGAGCGGAGCGCTCTTCCGGAGCTCCCCGGGTTGGCGAAAAGGGCGCTGCTTGCGCAGGCGCAGGAGGGGACGGGCGCAAGTGGCGCGGGCGGAACCTTGGCAGGCGCGGGCGCACCAGGCCTGTCCCGAACCTCGTCGGCTCGGCAGCTGTACGTTCAGAAGATGCTGCTGGATCTAGCGGCGCAGAGCGACGAAGCAAGCGAAGCAGGCTCGGGTTCCGGTTCGGGTCACGCGAGCCCGTGTGTAGCGTCGGGCGGGGGAAGCGGAACAGGCGGAAGCGGAAAGGGGGGGCGGAGCGGGCTTTCTAAGCGCGGGGTACTGGGACGGTCGGTGTCAGGCAAGGAGCACGCGGGGAGGCGCGCGGGGGCAACGGCGCAGGAAGGCGCGGAGGCGGCGCAACTGCAACTCGGCGCGGTCAGGCGCTCCGCTTCCGCGCGCTACCAGCCCGCCTCGCGGCTATCCGTCGACTTCAGCGCAGCTGCCTCCGCGGGGCTGACTGGCGGAGAGAACGGCGGAGGGGGGTGCGGGGAGGGGAAATCTCTGGGGCGCTCCGCATCCGACAAGGCAATGCAGGGGGGGGATCAGGCGCGGATGGTGGGCCTGCCGTCTATATCTGGGGCGATTTCTGGGGCGGCCGCGACTGTACGGGGAAAAGTATCTTCAGTACTAGTGGATCCATTTGCCAGTGCTTATAACAGGGAAGCTTGTGACGAGGATGAGGATGATGAAGATCTGTTTGACATTCTTGCTGCTATGAGGAGCATGCAGACGAGCCCTCAGTCTCCCAGCCCACTCTCCCCCCTCCACCCGCCTCCCCGCTCCCCAGTCCCCCTCTCCCCTTCCCCTGCCAACTCCCCCCACGCCCCCCCGCACCACACATATTCCCGCGATCCCTCCCCTGCTCCCCGCGCTCCCCCCGTTCCTCGCCCTTCCTCTCCCCCTCCCCCTCCCCTCCTCCGCTCCCCCTCACCCGACTCCCGCTCCCCCTCCCCTTCTTCGCGCACCGCGCCCCAACCAAACCACCCATCCTCCCTCTCTGTGTCTCACCCCAACATCACTCCTGCACGATCCGCCTCCCAGCACTACTCATCTGCCCCGGGCCCATCTTACGAATCCCCCCCTCGCTCCCCACCGCTTTCCCCCCTCGGTTCCTCCTCCGCCTCCTCCCCGCGCTCCCCGCCGCTCACTCCGCCGCGTAATAACCGCCGCCGCTCACTGCACATCCCGTCTCGCTCCATGCCGTCTGCTTTGGCTCGGCCGAACCGCCGCCACTCCACGTGCGAGGATCGGCCGCTGAATATGACGCATCCTGCCACTCGCCAGCCTGGCAGCGCCAGTGGTGGTGGTGGTGGTCCGTTTGCTGCTGCTAATTCCCGCGGTGCATCTGCTGCTGCTACTCGTGCGTTTGCAATGTCACGCAGTTTGAATTCTAGCTCGTCCGCTGCTGCGTCAGCTGCTGCCGCTGTGAAAGCGACTGGTGCTGCAAGGAGGGGGCAGGCAGGCGTGGGGGAAGGGAAGTTGGGTGGAGGGGGAGGGGGGGCTGGCCGGCATGCGGGTAGTGGTAGCAGCGGTAGTGGCAACTGCAATGGTGGTGGCAATGGCAGTGGTAGTGGCGACGCGGGAGATCGGTTTTTTGGTAGAGCAAGAACTCAGCCAACAGAGCGGGCATCTGCAGGCAGGGGGTGATAAAGGGTTTCGTGTCATGTTTTAATATTGTGTTCATCCTACTGTGTATATGATAGATCAATTGTTGTAATATTTTGAGTGCCAATTTATTTTTTGCTAGCGTAATGATTTTCTTGTGACATGTAGAAGCACTGTCTCAACAACCAGATGTGTCTCCGTGCAATTACTGTACGCATATGTGCTTCCGTCAGCAGGCTCGCAGAAATTAATCAACGAAGCTTCGCCGAGGTGCCGTAGTGCTGACATTTTCGAGGTGGCAAATTTCGTCAACCAATCGTACAGCCCTTCGCGCACCGCTCTGGGCTCACACAGACACGCCACTTTTGGGGGTTACGCCTCCTCCTGAGCTGAATGGTGTGACAAGCCGCCACGTAACCATGTTCCGTACCTAGCCAGACTCTGAACCGAACTTTTACCTCAGAGATTGGATGGTGGTAGTGGTGGAATGTGACGTCCATATGAAAGAGATCGGATGGTCCAAGATGACAGACGCCCTTCAAACTGCTCACACAACGCATCTTAGCCGTAAATTTCATCCACCGAAACAATCCCCACCAACTGTACAGGTCTGGATCTTTTGGGATCTTCACGCGTGGTAGTGGTGGTGGTGGTGGCAAGGGAAGGGAGGTACGGAAGACGAGGCTATAGGGTGGTGGTGGTGGCATGCCGCTGGGTTGGAATTGGAATTCAGTCAGCGACGATCGAGCACAGGAGCGTAGGTGTGTTGTTTTTTGAGTTGCTGTCGCTGTACAGAAAGCTCGACGAGGGATTTCGAGTAGCTGTCGCTAGTTTCGCTGCACCTCACACACGTCTTTTATTGCGGAGAAGAAGTGGAAGGACTGTTTCTTTTACATTTCACCCGTCGCGAGGAATTAGTTTTTCGCGGTCGCATTTTTGAGACGGTCTCAAAAAGCGCAGTTTCCTTTATTTGAATTTAGGATATAATCTGCTCTCATTCGCGGTTCGTTTCTTGCCGTGCCTGCTGCAAAGCCGACACGCTCTGACTCGGGCGCTCGATTGCGGGTTAGCGATCGTTACTCCCATTGATTCCATCGTTTCAAGGACAGGCGGCTGTAGCGCGCACCGGCTCTCGGACGCACCTAGCGCGAACGCGCGGTAGCACACTTCGTTTGTAGTACACTCCAGTTCGATAACTTTTTTACCTTCTTAGTTACACGCCGTTGAGCGCCGTTTCTAACCCAGGCTCGACGAGCACCGTCCGCCATGGCGCGTCAGGAGCAAACGGGGGAGCGCGGGAGCGACGAGGCCGAGAGGTTGCATCCTGACGGTCCGTTTGAAGGTAACAGTTCGCGGGTGTTCGCCACGTGTCGCCTGGGGCACAGTTCTTGGGAATCGCGTTTGTCAAACTTCTGAGCAGCTTTAACATGTTTACGGTTGGAGAAAGGAAGCAAGCTGTTTCTTACATCGTCTGTATCTTAGGCGCCGCAGAATTCGTTCACGGTTGGAAAAAGGAATCTAGCTTTTCTTGACGTAATCTTTACATCCTCTTAAGACCTAATGATCCTGCAATCTTTTCAAATTTTAGGTCTTAAAGGAAAATAGAAACTGAAACCCTCTGGTTGTCACCTGTTTTTACTCCCACGTTTCTCTGTTAACACTCAATTAACCTCTGCTTGCTTTACTCCCACCAAATTAATTTCCCTGGCAGCCAATCACATGAACGGTCAAGCGAACGGCCACGCGGAGAGTCACGAAGGGAGTCGAATGCTAAACGGAGACTCCCACGTCGTGGTTGACGTTGACGGTAGCGTTAACGGTGTCGGAATGTCGACCAATGGATCAGAGAATTCCGGGAAACATTCCGCGAGGGAGAGTAGGAGGGGAGGAGGAGGCGATGAGGGGGAAGAGGCGGTAGAGGAGGAAGAGTGTGGGAGTGAGGGAGGAGGGGGAGGGGGCGGAGGAGGGAGAGGAATGGGGGGGGTGTATCAACGAAAGAGCAAGGTGATGGATAAGTGCCATACCATGAGCGGATACAACAAGAAGAACATCACCGATACAATCACAGTCAAGGTGAGACTCGATACAGGCGGGAGCACAGCTGGATAAGAGTTACACGCTGAGCGGGTACTGCAAAAAGAGCATTACTGATACAATCACAGTTAAGGTGATATTTGATACGAACACGTGCGCTTCAAGGTGCAGACAGCCAAGACTGGCTCCTGGGATCCGCGCCACTCCTGCCTCCCCACACTGTTCGCCCCCCTCTCAACTTGCCCCCTCCCCCTCCCATTCCCCCTCCCCCCATCTCCCCCTTCCCCCATCCCCCCCTCTCCTCTCCCCCTTCCAGTTCAAGGACGTGCGCTACAAGGTGCAGACCGCGAAGGCGGGCTCCTGGGATCCGCGCCACTCCTGCCTCCCCACGCTCCCCACCCTCCCCGCGCTCCTCGCCCCCAAGCGGGGGGGAACCGCGGTCGGGGGAGGCGCGGAAGCGGGGGCAGGGGGAAAAGCGGGCGCGGAGGTGCGGGAGAAGGAGATTCTGCACGGGATAAGCGGGAGTGTGGCGCCGGGGGAGGTGCTAGCTATGATGGGGCCGTCAGGGGGAGGCAAGACGACGTTTCTGAACGTGCTGGGGGGGCGGTTCAAGCAGGGAAACATGGCGGGGACTCTCACTTACAACGACCTGCCTTACAGCAAGGCGCTCAAGAGAAAGTGAGTGAGGTGGAGGGTGTGTGAGGGGAGTGGAGAGAATGTGAGGTAAGTGAGTGAAGGGAGAGGGGGAGTAGAGAATTGGAGGGCGGTTTGAGCTGGGCGGTTTGACTTTGAACTAATGCACCCTGACCGTTCAGTGACCGCCCTGTGTTCTCCCTTCTCTCAGGCTCGGCTTCGTGACTCAGGACGACATATTTTTCCCACATCTCACCATGTTGTGCGGGAGACGCTCATGTACCTACGCCACTGTGCTGCGACTGCCCAAGGAGCTCACCTCCCTCTCTTCCTCTGTCTCACTGTCTCTATTCCTTCCCCCGTTTCCTCCTCCTGGTCTATCTCGCCCTTCTACTCCCTTCCCTTAGGCTGGGCTTCGTGACGCAGGACGACATATTTTTCCCGCACCTCACTGTGCGGGAGACCCTCATGTACACTGCTGTGCTGCGCCTGCCCAAGGACCTCACCTCCCTCTCTCCCCCCCTGTTCCCCCCCGTCTGCCACTCCCCCAGGCTGGGCTTCGTGACTCAGGGCGACGTATTCTTCCCACACCTCACTGTGCGCGAGACTCTCAGCTTTCTCTCTCCCTCACTGTATTCCCTCTCTGACACGTGTCCTACCCTTCTCTCAGGCTGGGCTTCGTGACTCAGGACGACATATTCTTTCCACACCTCACTGTGCGCGAGACACTCATGTACGCTGCTGTGCTGCGTCTCCCAAAGGAGCTGAGCTGGGCGGAGAAGGTGCAACGCGCCGACGAGACCATCACAGAGCTGGGCCTTGATAAGTGAGTGTGGTTATGCGGTTGGGATGGTTAAGGGGGGAATGGGAGCCAGGGTCTCACGGGGAATGGTGTGCGTGTGAGAACCTAGGGTACGAGTGCTCCAAGGAGCTGGGCTGACCTGGCCGGAGAAGGTGCAGCGCACCGATGAGACCATCACTGAGCTGGGGCTGGATAAGTGAGTTATCAATCAGGCGCACATGCAGCAGGTGGGATAGGTGGGACAGCTGATCACTGGGAGAGCGAATGTCACCTGTGGCATGCGTTGCCGAAGGAACTCAGCTGGGCGGAGAAGGTGCAGCGCGCCGACGAGACCATCACTGAGCTGGGGCTTGATAAGTGAGTGAGTGGAGGGGGGACTTATGGGGCTGGACACGTGAGTGATGGAGAAGACGGGGGGGGGGGGGTTCTTTCATCTCATGGTTTCCCACCCCCCTTCTCCCCGCCCCTCCCCATGCGGCTCCCTCCCACCCGCCATCCAACCTGGTGGATTTGGCCTTCCATGCTGCTGCCCGACAAACCCACCTCCGGCCCATCCCATATACCTCTGAACCGCTCTGGACCGCCCTGAATCGTTTTGATTTGCCCTGAACCGCTCTAAACCGTTCTGAACCCCACCCCACCCCCATTACCCTCCAGGTGCCGTAACACAGTTATTGGAAGGCCATTCCTTCGCGGCATATCCGGGGGGGAGCACAAGCGAGTGAGCATCGGGCATGAGATTCTCATCAACCCTCCATGCTGCTGCTCGACGAACCCACCCTAGAGCCTTGAACAGCTCTGAACCGCTCCTAATCACTCTAAACCGCTCTGAATCGCTTTGAACCACCCTAAATCGCTCTTTTCTTTGTCCACCCCACCCCCTCCACTCTCGCAGGTGTCGAAACACTGTGATTGGGGGGCCGTTTCTGCGTGGTATATCCGGGGGGGAGCGAAAGCGAGTGAGCATCGGGCATGAGATCCTCATCAACCCCTCCATGCTGCTGCTCGATGAACCCACCTCCGGTCTCGACTCCACTACTGCTCTCCGGATCATTCAAGTCATCCAAAACCTCGCCAAATCGGGCCGAACCGTTGTTACTACCATTCACCAGCCGTCTTCCCGGCTGTTCCACGCGTTCGATAAGCTGCTGCTCTTATCGGAGGGGAATGTTATTTTTTTTGGGCAGGCTGCGGACGCGATGGGGTATTTTGGAAGGTTGGGGTTTGAGCCGCTGTTTGCAACGAACCCGGCGGATTTTCTGCTGGATTTGGCGACAGGGACGACGGCGGATGTGCGGCTGCCGGGTGTGTTGGGGGAGAGTGAGGAGTGGCATGGGAAGAGCATGCCAGAGCAACAACACGACGTGAAAGAGGTGAGCTATGTCTTTTTGTTAGAATGGGAAAAAATAAAAAGAGCATGTTTCTTTGTCACTTTCTTGTTCTCTCCTCACGCTGCTTCTTCTTCGTCTCGAGACTAGATGTTGCAAAGGCTGCTCTCATTCGTTTTCCCCAATCCCCCAATCCCCATCCCCACGCCCCCAGTTCGTGGCTCGGGCTCACAGGGAGCAGCAGCAGCCGCTGGTGCATGCTGAGCGTTGAAGCAGCTTGTCCTCGTCCCCAATCCCCATTCCTCATTCCCACTATCCTTCCCTCCCCCTCCCCCCACTGTCCCAGTTCGTGGCTCGAGCGCACAGGGAGCAGCAGCAGCCGCTGGTGCACTTTCGAGTCAACTAATTCCCTCCCATTCCCATCCCACCGTCCATCCCCCAATTTCCGTTCTTACTCCCGTTCCTATCCCCCATTTCAATCCCAGTTCGTGGCTCGAGCACACAGGGAGCAGCAGCAGCCGCTGGTGCATGCTGAGCTGGCAGGGCTGCCCGCCAGCTCAGATGCCGACCAGAAGAGCGTGCTGCAGCGGCGGGGGTGGACGGCACCGTGGTTGCTGCAGTTCTCGGTGCTGTGGACGCGCGGTTTGAAGGAGAGAAGGCATGAAGTGCTGTCACCATTGCGGTTCTATCAGGTTAGTGTTACTGGGAGGTGGGAGGGGGTTTAGTTACTGGGCAGGTGGACGGCACCGTGGTTGCTGCAGTTCTCGGTGCTGTGGACGCGCGGGCTCAAGGAGAGACGACACGAAGTGCTTTCAGCGCTCAGGTTTTACCAGGTGAGTGTGCAGCAACAAGCCCACCTTGCATGCGAGGCACTCCTGTGTGCAGCAACAAGCCCACCTTGCATGCGAGGCACTCCTGTGTGCAGCAACAAGCCCACCTTGCATGCGAGGCACTCCTGTGACTCGCACAAGCCCACCTTGCATGCGAGGCACTCCTGGATAATGCTACAGCGGCCGGGGTGGATGACGCCGTGGCTGCTGCACTTCTCAGTGCTGTGCACGCGCGGTTTGAAGGAGAGACGGCATGAAGTGTTATCGTCGCTCAGGTTTTACCAGGTCAGTAGTTTGCTTGGGATGAGTGGATGGTAAGGAAGGAGAGTGGTTGTGGGGGTGGACGGCGCCGTGGCTGCTGCAGTTCTCAGTGCTGTGGACGCGCGGGCTCAAGGAGAGACGACACGAAGTGCTTTCACCATTGCGGTTCTACCAGGTCAGTTGATTTGTTGAGGAAAGGTGGTAGATGTTCGAATGGGTGGCTGCTGGGATGGTTCCGTGGCTGCTGCAGTTCTCAGTGCTGTGGTTCAGTTTTGAGACGTCTTAATTTTTTAGTCTTGAGACGTCTCAAAACTCGATGTTCGAATGGGTGGCTGCCGGGACGGCGCCCTGGCTGCTGCATTTCTCAGTGGTGTGGTTCAGGTCAGGTCGTTCGACCTATAGTGTGCACTTCTCCCCTTTCCCTTCTCCCCTCCCCTCTCTGTCTTTCCATTTGACAGCGTTGGGCTTTTATCTGTGAAATGCTGTGGTTTGGCTTGGAGCGCATCACTGCCTCAGGGTCCCTCCCTCCTCATGCTGCTTGGCTCGCACCTTTTTTGAGGCGCCTAAAAAATCGTCTCATGACTCGCGGTTTTGAGGCGCCTCAAAATTTCATTTGACAGCGTTGGGCTTTTATCTGTGAAATGCTGTGTTTTGGCTTGGAGTGCAACACTGCCTCAGGGTCCCTCCCTCCTCATGCTGGTTGCCACGCACCTTACTATCCTCCTACCCTCCCTCTCATCCACCCCTCCAGGTGACAGCGCTGGGCTTCATCTGTGGCATGCTGTGGTTTGGGTCGGAGCGCAACACTGCCATGGAGATTCAGGATCAGGTGAGAAGCCACATGCATGATCAGGTGAAAGTTCAGGTGTCAGTTCAGGTGACAGCGCTGGGCTTCATCTGTGGCATGCTGTGGTTTGGCTCTGAACGCAACACTGCAACAGAGATTCAGGACCAGGTGAGAAGCCAGATGGAGGACCAGGGGACAGTTGAGTCGACTGAAAAGGCATGCTGTGGTTTGGCTCGGAGCGCAACACTGCCACAGAGATTCAGGACCAGGTGAGAAGGCGGATTCCGGTTATAGCTGTGGGCTTTGGGCTTTATCTCTAGCTGCTCTCGTCGTCTCCATCTTCTGGGGCTTCTTCCCCCATCCTCCTCACGCACTCGTTGCGCCCTGCTTCTCATGAATCCCCTTGCCCTCTCTTCCCTTACCTGCACCAGGTCGGCTTGCTATTCTTCATCTCCATCTTCTGGGGCTTCTTCCCTCTCTGTGCCGCCATTTTCATGCACTCCTTATCACCTGCCCCCCTCTACCACAGTCCTCATTCTCCTTCTGTTCCAATCCCCCTTGTGCCCCCAACCGTTCTTCCCTGCACCAGGTCGGCTTGCTATTCTTCATCTCCATCTTCTGGGGATTCTTCCCTCTCTTCCCGTCCTCCTCACGCACTCGTTGCGCCCTGCTTCTCATCGACCCCCTTGCCCTCTCTTCCCTTCCCTGCACCAGGTCGGCTTGCTATTCTTCATCTCCATCTTCTGGGGCTTCTTCCCTCTCTTCGCCGCCATCTTCACCTTCCCGCAGGTCAGCCTCCAGGTTCCGGGTTTTAGCTTTTAGCTCTTAGTTTTTAGCTTCAAAGTACCAAAATAAGTACCTGGATGCCAGGTAGTCTTTTTCCCTCGCTTCGCCGCCATGGTCACCTTCCCCCACGCCAGCTGCCAGCTTTTAGCTTTCAAGGTACCAAGGTAAGCGCCAACTAAGCAAGCACAGTCCAGGTGTCTTGAGTATCGTTTCCTCCACTTTGCCATCATAGTCACCTCCTCCCACCAGTTGATCTCCTACACCACTTCACTCACACTTTGATCCTCTTTTCACCACTCTTCACCCCATACCACCGCACTTAACCCCAGGAGCGCGCCATTCTAGCCAAGGAGAGGGCGAGCGACATGTACCGGCTTTCAGCCTACTACCTCAGCCGCCAGCTGTCTGACCTCCCCATGGAGTGGCTGCTGACTCGTCTTTATCTCCGTTTGACCCCATTCCACCACATTCCACCCCTTTCCACCGCATTTCGCCACATTCCGCCGCATTGTGCCACATTGTACCGCACTGCATCGCAGGAGCGCTCCATTCTAGCCAAGGAGAGGGCGAGCGACATGTACCGCCTATCAGCCTACTACCTCAGCCGCCAGCTGTCTGACCTCCCCATGGAGTGGCTGCTCCCCACACTCTTCCTCCTCATCTGCTACTTCATGGCGAACCTCAAACTCACTGCAGCTGCGTTTTTCGGACTGCTCTTCTCCACATACCTCATAGTCACCACAGCTCAGGTGTGTTGCTTTATCTCTCTCTTTACTCTGTTTCTCTCGTTCAAGCCTCCCCATGGAGTGGCTGCTTTCCACGCTCTTCCTCCTCATCTGCTACATCCTGGCTAACCTAAAACTCACTGCCGGGGCCTATTTCAGGCTCCTCTTCTCGACCTATCTCATTGTCACCACGGCTCAGGTGGGTGGTTTCTACAGTCCTTGCTCTCTCTTGTTACGCTCCCCCGCCCCACGCTCTTCCCCCTCATCTGCTACTTCATGGCTTCCCCTCTAGACATCACACACCTCTCACCATGACCTCACCCTATTCTCCCTACCACAGGGCTGTGGGCTCTTTTTGGGTGCAGCGGTGATGGACGTGAAAGTGGCCACCACGCTCGCCTCGGTGCTCCTCCTGACCTTCATGCTCGCAGGAGGATACTACCTGCAAACCATCCCCGCCTTGCATGCTCTTCTGATTGCTCTCCTATCTCCCTCTCACCTCATGTTTCCCTCTACCATTCACAGGGCTGTGGGCTGTTCCTGGGCGCAGCAGTGATGGACGTCAAGGTGGCCACCACGCTCGCCTCCGTGCTCCTGCTCACCTTCATGCTCGCAGGAGGATACTACCTGCAAACCATCCCCGCCTTCATCGCATGGATCAAGTACATCTCCTTCACCTACTATGCCTACCGCCTCATCATCAAAACCCAATTCTCGCCCTCGGATACCTTTGAATGCGGCCTGCCGAGCGACCCGAGTGCCATCATCTGCCCAATTTCGGACGCGCCCTCATTCCGGGGGTTCTCGCTGGGAGACGCGTGGGTTGATGTGGTGGCGCTGTTGGTTCAGGTGGCGTTTTACCGCGGGCTGGGGTACTTTGCCCTCAGAAGGATGAAGACGAATGTATAGCAGACATGACATTTCTCTGATGTCAAGACTTGCTAGGTCGCTGCTGTTTCGGGGGTTCTCGCTGGGAGATGCGTGGGTTGAGGTGGTGGCGTTGCTGGTGCAGGTGGCGTTTTACCGCGGGCTGGGGTACTTTGCTCTGAGGAGGATGAAGACGAACGTGTAGCAGATACGCCACCTGCCAATACTGGACGTACGGTTTTCGCTGGGAGACGTGTGGGTTGATGTGGAGGCATTGTTGGTGCAGGTCGTGTTTTACCGCGGGCTTGGGTACTTTGCTCTCAGGAGGATGGAGACGAATGTATACTGTACCTGTAACCTAGTCTTACAGGTGCTGCTGATGTGGGTGCTTCAGGGATGCGTGGGTTGATGTGGTTGCTCTATCAGTGCAGGTGGCGTTTTATCGCACGCTGGGCTGGGGTACTTCACCCTGAGAAGGATGAAGACGAATGTATAGCAGATATGCTATCCGCCCATGAGGGCTTCTTGCTGGAAGACGCATGGGTTGATAAGGTGGTTGAAGTGGCCCTCATTGTTATGTTGGTTGAAGTGGCGTTTTACCTCATCCTTGGTTATGGTACTATGCTCCGAGGAGGATAAAAAGCAACGTTTAGATGGGAAGGTGTGTTGCAGAAGCTTAGCTGTTTTTTTCCCTGCTCGCAATTTTTACAATCTTCTGCACTGGTCTGAGTAACCATTTGTAAAGAAACCACCATATTGTTGAAACTTCCTCAGATGTTGTACACTGTATCATGTGAGAGTTGGGCCTTGAAAAGCCAAACCAGTATTCTACTGTAGATTGCCAGCGTAAAGAAAAACTACAGTATGTTGCGTACATCATCAACTGCATCCTCGTTATGGCGTTGCTGTCATTATCATCGTCCTAACATCATTCATCCTCATCACTATCCTCCTCCTCCTCTTCCATATCACCCACAGCATCCTCCTCATCATCATCCTCCCCTCCCCCATCCTCCTCATCCTCATCAAGCTCCCCAATGGCAATCCCTTCGGGGTCAAACGCCATGGGCGCCTGCTTGTACAGGGGATGGGGGGGGGGGGGGGGGGGGGGGGGCAAGATGCACAAGCAGGCAACGAGAGGGGGGGTACAGAGCACAGGGCATGAGGCATGTGGCACAGGGCATCATATGACATCACCGACACAATCCTCCCCCATCCTCCTCATCGTCATCCTCCCCTCCCCCATCCTCCTTCCCATCATCCTCATCAAGCTCCCCAATGGCTATCCCTTCGGTCCTCACCCTTCCCCATGTCTTCCCATCCCTCGCTTCTCACCTCGTCCCTAATGGCTGATAGCTTCCAGCTGGGCCAGTCGAAGCTCGAAGCTATCAGCCATTAGGGACCACGCTGGCTCCTCTGCTGCCGCTACTCCTCACCTCATTCCAGACCGTTTTGGCTCACCTCACCGCTCCTCACCACTCCTCACCGTTCCTCATCATTCCCCCTTACTCACCTCGTCGCCCTTGTCCCACCCCTTGAGACCCGACTGCCCCGGCTGAAAGCTATCAGCCAATAGGAACCACGTCGGCTCCACTGCTGCCGCTACTCCTCATTCCAGACCGTTTTGACTCACCTTACCGTTCCTCACCACTCCTCACCGTTCCTCACCATTCTCTCGCTTCTCCCCTCGTCGCCCTTGTCCCACACCTTGAGGTTCGACTGCCCCAGCTGGAAGCTATCAGCCAACAGGGACCACGTCGGCTCCTCTGCTGCCGCTGCTGCTCATTCCCTCTCCTCACCATTCCTCACCGTTCCCCCCTCCTCAACTCGTCGCCCTTGTCCCACCCGTTGAGCTTCGACTGCCCCAGCTGGAAGCTATCAGCCAACAGGGACCACGTCGGCTCCTCTGCTGGGGCATGAAACATCACTATTTAGAGATCAACCATCACTGCATCACACCGCTCTATCATTCCTCACCTCGTCGCCCTTGTCCCACCCCGACTGCCCCAGCTGGAAGCTATCACCCCGAGATTGCAACAGGGTGTACCCATCACCTCAGCTGCTCTACCAGTGACCATTCTTTCTGCCTCACCTCGTCGCCCTTGTCCCACCCTTTGAGGTTCGACTGCCCCAGTTGGAAGCTATCAGCCAACAGGGACCACGTCGGCTCCTCTGCTGCCGCTGCTGCTGACGTGGCAGCCTCTGGCTTAGTCTGTGGAAGGATCAAGAGAAGGGGAGGGAAAGGGACATGATTCTAATTAGGGCAGTCAAAGAGGATGAAGAGGACTTTATGCGTTAAAAAAGCGGTTAAGAAATCTGCACTTTTAGAGGCACAGATGTGCTCCGGGGCACCTTTTGAGTGGACTAAAAAATATGTGCTGCCAGCACAGCTGTGTTTCGGGGTAACAGGCAGGCAAACGGCAGGTGCCACCAATGCCAAGTGTTGCTGTTGAACCTCTTAGTTCCGTCAGGAATGCTGCCTTGGTCTTCTTATCCGCTCAAGAGACACAAGGCAACCGCTCACCTTGCCTCCTTGCTTTGAAGCGGCACCACCAATGCCACCAATTGCAAGGGGAGAACGGGGAAAATTCAAGGGCTCACCTTGCCTCCTTGCTTTGAAGCGGCACCACCAATGCCACCAATGCCAGGTGTTGCTGTGGAGCCTCTAAGTTCAGTGAGGAAAGCTGCCTTGGTCTTCTTATCCGCATCTGAAACGGAAAAAAGAGCGAAAAAAACACGTGAATGATGGATGGGTGTGAGCAGGAATGGGTGTGCGCATGGATGGATGGGTGTGCGTATGAACTTTATGAATGTGCCTGAGTTTCAGTATTATGTCAGCATGATGTCAGCGTGATGTCAGCATGATGTCAGCATGATGTCAGCGTGGTGTCAGCGTGATTTCTGCATTATTGAGCCGTCAGCTGGCAAGTTTACCTTTGGTGGAAGCTTGCTTCTGCACCTTCTGAGCCTTGCTGACCTGTGAAGGAATGAAAGCGTAATGGAATGGGGCACCGACGTATTCAAGGATTCGTCCAGCTGTGAGGGTGGCGGTGATGCTGATGCTGATGCTGATGGGTGATGCTGATGCTGATGCTGATGCTGATGCTGATGGGTGATGCTGATGCTGACGCTGATGCTGATGCTGATGGTGATGCTGATGCTGATGCTGATGCTGATGGGTGATGCTGATGCTGATGCTGATGCTGATGGGTGATGCTGATGCTGACGCTGATGCTGATGCTGATGGTGATGCTGATGCTGATGCTGATGCTGATGCTGATGCTGATGGGTGATGCTGATGCTGATGGGTGATGCTGATGCTGATGGGTGATGCTGATGCTGATGGGTGATGCTGATGAGTGATGCTGATGCTGATGGGTGATGCTGATGGGTGATGCTGATGCTGATGCTGATGCTGATGCTGATGGGTGATGCAGATGCTGATGCTGATGCTGATGCTGATGCTGATGCTGATGCTGATGGGTGATGCTGATGCTGATGCTGATGCTGATGGGTGATGCTGATGCTGACGCTGATGCTGATGCTGATGGTGATGCTGATGCTGATGCTGATGCTGATGCTGATGCTGATGGGTGATGCTGATGCTGATGGGTGATGCTGATGCTGATGGGTGATGCTGATGCTGATGGGTGATGCTGATGAGTGATGCTGATGCTGATGGGTGATGCTGATGGGTGATGCTGATGCTGATGCTGATGCTGATGCTGATGGGTGATGCAGATGCTGATGCTGATGCTGATGCTGATGCTGATGCTGATGCTGATGGGTGATGCTGATGCTGATGCTGATGCTGATGCTGATGGGTGATGCAGATGCTGATGCTGATGCTGATGCTGATGCTGATGCTGATGGGTGATGCTGATGCTGATGCTGATGCTGATGCTGATTCTGATGCTGATGCTGATGCTGATGCTGATGCTGATGCTGATGCTGATGCTGATGCGGATGGGTGATGCTGATGCTGATGCTGATGCTGATGCTGATTCTGATGCTGATGCTGATGCTGATGCTGATGCTGATGCTGATGCTGATGGGTGATGCTGATGCTGATGCTGATGCTGATGCTGATGGGTGATGCTGATGCTGACGCTGATGCTGATGCTGATGGGTGATGCTGATGCTGATGCTGATGCTGATGGGTGATGCTGATGCTGACGCTGATGCTGATGCTGATGGTGATGCTGATGCTGATGCTGATGCTGATGGGTGATGCTGATGCTGATGCTGATGCTGATGCTGATGGGTGATGCTGATGCTGACGCTGATGCTGATGCTGATGGTGATGCTGATGCTGATGCTGATGCTGATGGGTGATGCTGATGCTGATGCTGATGCTGATGGGTGATGCTGATGCTGACGCTGATGCTGATGCTGATGGTGATGCTGATGCTGATGCTGATGCTGATGCTGATGCTGATGGGTGATGCTGATGCTGATGGGTGATGCTGATGCTGATGGGTGATGCTGATGCTGATGGGTGATGCTGATGAGTGATGCTGATGCTGATGGGTGATGCTGATGGGTGATGCTGATGCTGATGCTGATGCTGATGCTGATGGGTGATGCAGATGCTGATGCTGATGCTGATGCTGATGCTGATGCTGATGCTGATGGGTGATGCTGATGCTGATGCTGATGCTGATGCTGATGGGTGATGCAGATGCTGATGCTGATGCTGATGCTGATGCTGATGGGTGATGCTGATGCTGATGCTGATGCTGATGCTGATTCTGATGCTGATGCTGATGCTGATGCTGATGCTGATGCTGATGCTGATGCTGATGCGGATGGGTGATGCTGATGCTGATGCTGATGCTGATGCTGATTCTGATGCTGATGCTGATGCTGATGCTGATGCTGATGCTGATGCTGATGCTGATGCTGATGCTGATGGGTGATGCTGATGCTGATGCTGATGCTGATGCTGATGGGTGATGCTGATGCTGACGCTGATGCTGATGCTGATGGGTGATGCTGATGCTGATGCTGATGCTGATGGGTGATGCTGATGCTGACGCTGATGCTGATGCTGATGGTGATGCTGATGCTGATGCTGATGCTGATGGGTGATGCTGATGCTGATGCTGATGGGTGATGCTGATGCTGACGCTGATGCTGATGCTGATGGTGATGCTGATGCTGATGCTGATGCTGATGCTGATGCTGATGGGTGATGCTGATGCTGATGGGTGATGCTGATGCTGATGGGTGATGCTGATGCTGATGGGTGATGCTGATGAGTGATGCTGATGCTGATGGGTGATGCTGATGGGTGATGCTGATGCTGATGCTGATGCTGATGCTGATGGGTGATGCAGATGCTGATGCTGATGCTGATGCTGATGCTGATGCTGATGCTGATGGGTGATGCTGATGCTGATGCTGATGCTGATGCTGATGGGTGATGCAGATGCTGATGCTGATGCTGATGCTGATGCTGATGCTGATGGGTGATGCTGATGCTGATGCTGATGCTGATGCTGATTCTGATGCTGATGCTGATGCTGATGCTGATGCTGATGCTGATGCTGATGCGGATGGGTGATGCTGATGCTGATGCTGATGCTGATGCTGATTCTGATGCTGATGCTGATGCTGATGCTGATGCTGATGCTGATGCTGATGCTGATGGGTGATGCTGATGCTGATGCTGATGCTGATGCTGATGGGTGATGCTGATGCTGACGCTGATGCTGATGCTGATGGTGATGCTGATGCTGATGCTGATGCTGATGCTGATGCTGATGCTGATGGGTGATGCTGATGCTGATGGGTGATGCTGATGCTGATGGGTGATGCTGATGCTGATGGGTGATGCTGATGAGTGATGCTGATGATGATGGGTGATGCTGATGGGTGATGCTGATGCTGATGCTGATGCTGATGCTGATGGGTGATGCAGATGCTGATGCTGATGCTGATGCTGATGCTGATGGGTGATGCAGATGCTGATGCTGATGCTGATGCTGATGCTGATGGGTGATGCTGATGCTGATGCTGATGGGTGATGCTGATGGGTGATGCTGATGGGTGATGCTGATGCTGATGGGTGATGCTGATGCTGATGCTGATGCTGATGCTGATGCTGATGGGTGATGCTGATGCTGACGCTGATGCTGATGCTGATGCTGATGCTGATGCTGATGCTGATGCTGATGCTGATGCTGATGGGTGATGCTGATGCTGACGCTGATGCTGATGCTGATGGTGATGCTGATGCTGATGCTGATGCTGATGGGTGATGCTGATGCTGATGCTGATGCTGATGGGTGATGCTGATGCTGACGCTGATGCTGATGCTGATGGTGATGCTGATGCTGATGCTGATGCTGATGCTGATGCTGATGGGTGATGCTGATGCTGATGGGTGATGCTGATGCTGATGGGTGATGCTGATGCTGATGGGTGATGCTGATGAGTGATGCTGATGCTGATGGGTGATGCTGATGGGTGATGCTGATGCTGATGCTGATGCTGATGCTGATGGGTGATGCAGATGCTGATGCTGATGCTGATGCTGATGCTGATGCTGATGCTGATGGGTGATGCTGATGCTGATGCTGATGCTGATGCTGATGGGTGATGCAGATGCTGATGCTGATGCTGATGCTGATGCTGATGCTGATGGGTGATGCTGATGCTGATGCTGATGCTGATGCTGATTCTGATGCTGATGCTGATGCTGATGCTGATGCTGATGCTGATGCTGATGCTGATGCTGATGCTGATGGGTGATGCTGATGCTGATGCTGATGCTGATTCTGATGCTGATGCTGATGCTGATGCTGATGCTGATGCTGATGCTGATGCGGATGGGTGATGCTGATGCTGATGCTGATGCTGATGCTGATTCTGATGCTGATGCTGATGCTGATGCTGATGCTGATGCTGATGCTGATGCTGATGGGTGATGCTGATGCTGATGCTGATGCTGATGGGTGATGCTGATGCTGACGCTGATGCTGATGCTGATGGTGATGCTGATGCTGATGCTGATGCTGATGCTGATGCTGATGCTGATGCTGATGGGTGATGCTGATGCTGATGGGTGATGCTGATGCTGATGGGTGATGCTGATGCTGATGGGTGATGCTGATGAGTGATGCTGATGCTGATGGGTGATGCTGATGGGTGATGCTGATGCTGATGCTGATGCTGATGCTGATGCTGATGGGTGATGCAGATGCTGATGCTGATGCTGATGCTGATGCTGATGGGTGATGCAGATGCTGATGCTGATGCTGATGCTGATGCTGATGGGTGATGCTGATGCTGATGCTGATGGGTGATGCTGATGGGTGATGCTGATGGGTGATGCTGATGCTGATGGGTGATGCTGATGCTGATGCTGATGCTGATGCTGATGGGTGATGCTGATGCTGACGCTGATGCTGATGCTGATGGTGATGCTGATGCTGATGCTGATGCTGATGCTGATGCTGATGGGTGATGCTGATGCTGATGGGTGATGCTGATGCTGATGGGTGATGCTGATGCTGATGGGTGATGCTGATGCTGATGGGTGATGCTGATGAGTGATGCTGATGCTGATGGGTGATGCTGATGGGTGATGCTGATGCTGATTCTGATGCTGATGCTGATGGGTGATGCAGATGCTGATGCTGATGCTGATGCTGATGCTGATGGGTGATGCTGATGCTGATGCTGATGCTGATGCTGATGGGTGATGCTGATGCTGACGCTGATGCTGATGCTGATGGTGATGCTGATGCTGATGCTGATGCTGATGCTGATGCTGATGCTGATGGGTGATGCTGATGCTGATGGGTGATGCTGATGCTGATGGGTGATGCTGATGCTGATGGGTGATGCTGATGAGTGATGCTGATGCTGATGGGTGATGCTGATGGGTGATGCTGATGCTGATGCTGATGCTGATGGGTGATGCAGATGCTGATGCTGATGCTGATGCTGATGCTGATGGGTGATGCTGAT